ATTCTAATATACCACGCATCGACACCACGCATGGAAATACCATTTGCAAGAATACCACGCGTAGTAATACCTTGCGCAGTACTACCACACGTACAAATACCACATATTCTAATATACCACGCATCGACACCACGCATAAGAACACCACTTGCAAGAATACCTCGCGCAGTAGTACCACGCAGAAATACGAAGTGTACCAACATACCACGCGTAATATCACATGTCCTAATATACCATGCGAGCAAACACCACATGGAATCACCAAGCGTACCAATACAAATAAGAATCAGTTCAGTTAATTACTAATATCATCTAATAAAAAATAATTCCAATCTCAAAAATAATACCCGTCGTTGCCTCGCAAACATGGCAGCCCCGCTCGAACAGCGGGTTAGCGAAAATAACGAGACGAGTGCACGATTGAATGCTCGTTTAAACAGAATGACGAAGAATAATTAACGCGTTCACGAATTCCATGACGTAACCAGCGAAATGCAATAGGACATAACGTATTTCATTCTGGCGAGAAATACGCGTCAACGTTGCTTCACGGAGGACGCTTTAAAATATGTTTCGCCGAGCAAAGGGCAGAAGGAGAGGAAAAAGAAAGAAAGAAAGAAAGAAAGAAAGAGGGTACTTCTTTCACGAGGAAATATGAGCCCGTAGCAGTTCAGTCTGCTGGGAATAAGGTTAACGCCGTAAAGGACACACAATTTGTCCGCGACAAAAAAGAAAGTCGGGGCTTACCCGGTGAAAAAGCGGGCACAGAGAAACGCTCAAAACGCTGAACTCGAAGTAATGTTTGTCATAATTAAGCCGGGGACTAAATAAACCTCCTGACAAGGAGGAATGATCAGCCTTGCTCACTGAACAGAATCTTTCTGTTTACTCCTCAGAAAAAGCACTCGTTGCGATTCAACTCGTTCGAAAGATGTACATTGATGATCATCGTGCACTTTGCACAGGGAAAATGACGATACAAGGAAACGAGGCTTTAAAACTGGTTAATTGTTGAGCCTTTCAAATTTAATAAAGTTGAAAATTAGGGATTTTCGAGAACGTAAAAATTTAATGATTCGGGGATTAGTGGAATGAAAAATTTTCAAGTTCACGTATTTAATCGGCGGGAATAAAAGCAAACGGGAAACTTGTCTCTACAGTCGTCCTTACACAAAGGAAGTGTACGTTACAATCGAGCGCACAATGAAGAGAGGCAACCGACAAGGGAGGAAAAATCGAAAGAGCATGAAATGGAGTAAAATAAAAAAGGTATCTCATACGAGTTCGCGCGTAATTGAACGCGTAGAAGGGTAGAGAAGGGACGGCTGACTTTTATTAGGACGAAATTAATTTGAAATCCTGGAAAAGCTCGATTAAATGTTGGTCGTTAATCACGATCGAGGGAAACGTATGTAGCATCGAATTCGAACCGATGAGAATCGATTAATTCGGTTAACGTTAAAGGTATCTAATACCGTTGGCCGGTTCCTCTTTCCGTTGAATAAGATTAACGGGAGGCTGGAAGTTGCACGGAGGAGAACGGTAAGCGGAATAACGTCAGGCTCGCCGGGAAAAATGCAATAATCGTAAGCGACCCGAAAACGGCCGGCAGAGATAACAGGGGCGAAACTAATGGTAATCACGGAGGCCGGAGAAGAACAGAAGAAAAAGGAAGTGACAACGAGGCGGCACGACGAAAAATAGGTCGAAAGAATCCTAAGGAGGATTCATTACGCTCAGCTCGGAGCCCGTCTACCGGATCATCTTCAGCATCGATAGAAACGGAACGACTCGAACCGGGGTTGCACGGTATTTTTCGAAAACAAAACGGACCAGAAAAGAAGAAAAACCATCAAGGATCCGAACGAAAGGAATGCAACCGCAATTTCGACTGTTTGTTCGCCGGTGGTAGCCGAAGAGAACGCGAAGCGAGAAATAAACGGAAGAAAGCTCGAGAGCGGTAGAGAGCGGGCGGGGAGGGTAGAAGAGCCAAGTCACGAAAACGGTGGTGGTATTAAAAGCCAACCGGGAACAGTAATCAGGCGGCTGAATTAAGAATCGTAAACACCGAAGGAGACCGAGCCAAAGCGAAAGCTGATTAAAAGACAGCGAGGGTTGTCGGCTCCTCGTCGTCCTTTCCAATCGGCCTGAATTCGTTTAAAACTCGAACCGGCCGGCTAACTAAACCGCTGCTGGTCAATCGACGAGCCGCAAGTTTACAAATCCTCCTACCCCCGGATCGAAACGCGAAAGGCGGGAGAGCAAGAGGAGCAGCAAAAAGGGTACCGGCAGTCTCTGACTATTTCCAAGCTAGCCCCGTGTCGTCTCGGTGAAAGCGACACGGGAATACGAAGCTTAACATCGTGAGAAGCGTAAAATTTGTTCAGAGGGGTGGACGAAAGACGTCGCGCGGCTTGGAAGAGCAAGAAGCGTGGAAGACGCTAAAGCAACGAACAGCACCAACCACCACGACGGTGGTAGTAATACGGCGGAGCAGCAGAAGCAGAAGCAAAAGCAGCAGCAGCAGCAGCAGCAGCAACGACGGCAGCAGCAGCAGCGACGACGACAACGACAACGACGACAAAGACGACGACGAGGCTGGTGTGCGCGACGATGGTAGTAGTAACGGTAGCGGTGGTTGGTGGTGGTGGTGGTGGTCGAGGGTGGTGGTGGTAGTAGCGGCAGTAGCAGTAGTAGTAATCAGAGAAGAAGACCGAGAAGGAGAAAGGGGTAAGAAGAGAAGAGGAGAAAGCGGGACGGAGCGAGAGCTGGAGGAAGGAGGAGGCTGACTGATCGGCAGAGTAGAGGAGAAAGAGCACGCCTGCGCGGAATCCCCGGGCGGGCGCGGGCAGTGCCACTGGAGGCCCGGCGGTTTCAGAGCTTCGCCCGGGACGACGAACCGCAGACGACCCGTACGCAAAACTCGGTCGTAGTTAGCCGCGTTGAAGGATCGTCGGGAAAAAGGGGTCGAATCACGCGACAACACTGGCCCCCGGTGACGGCTATCGCGCGCGCCGTCATTCGGATTACTCGAGCGTACAAGAAACGGCCGGCCGTTCGGACGCACGTTGGAAAGACGTGTCCACGTCGCGATATACATACGTTCGTATAAGGTATACGGTCTAAGAAAGAATCGGTGCGTAGACGACAGTTGGTCGGGAGACGATGTGATCAGTGCGACACCGGTCCGGTGGTGTGTCTCCGTAATCGGTGCGCGACACAAGAGGGAACGAGGAAAGGACGAGGTGCGAGTAAATGGTACTATGCACGAGGTCTGGTAGCATCGAGCCAAGGAGGATGAACAGAGTGACGACGGAGGGCTAAGTGTGAGACGGTGCACCGGGCTGGTGTGCTGGTTGTTTTGAGATGTCAGTGGACCCGTCGGAGACAACCGCGTCGTCGTTCTCCTCGTCGCCGTCGTCGTCGTCGTCGTCCTTCCGCTCATCTTCGTCATCATGAGGAGATCCTGTTACGTCAACTACTACGTCCTGTGCCTCGTGTGCTGGATTCTCCTAGGCATCACCGGTAAGATCCGTTCAGCTCCGCGCGACATATGTTGCCACGTTCCGAGTGCTGGCTCACGCGGATCCGTGCATCGATCTTTCAACGTTCCCGCGGGAAAGTGTACCGAAGCGCTGGTTGGAAACCACGAGATACGTGGCCAGCCGAGGACGTGGTTTTTCGGCAACGGTGATCGTCTCGTGTGCCCTAGGTCCAGGTCCACGGTGCTGACTGCCGATACGCTTTTCTCTACCGGCTAAACCTGAGAACCAGGGGGAGGGTGCGGAAGGGACAGGCGGGGCTTTGGAGACTTTGTACTGCGGATGGATCGATCAGATTTTGGGGTGTAACTGTGCGTACGTGAATTAGCACGCGGATCCGTGCGAATTGGTGTCGCTTAGCTGTCGTTCCCCGTGGAATTTGGCAGCTGATCTCCGTGAATTCGCGATCGATGACTCGCGAGGATCGAGATACGCGAGTGGAAGGAAAAAGGAGGACTCGTAGGCAGGGGGTGGGAGGGGGCTGCCTCCGGACCCGGTCCAGGGCTGTATCTAGCGCCGCCCTTGTTTGTCGCGGCGACGGTATTGTATTTTTCCCTGGTCTCTTCTTTGTCTCTCGGATCCCTTCGTTTTTTTTCTTCGCTATCCTTGTCGGGTCACCGTGTCGACTCGATGATTCCGTCATCGGGGTTACGGAGGATGGGAGGGGGTGTCGAGGCGAAGGCAGAAGGGTAGCGTGTTCCCTCATCTTCGCTCTGACGTCGTTCAGGGACGTGTCTATCGATTTCGTCTCTCTCTCTCTCCGTCGTCTCTCTGTACGCGATTCAAATTTTCTTCTCGATTCTCTCGACGATAACCGAGTCGAGAGAACAACGTGTACGTCGAGAAACGTACCGGAACAGGAACGAATCGGCCGAGTGTTCGATGTTTTTCCATCGACGTACTTCGATGTGTTTTTGATGGCTCTCTCGACGACAGAGTAATGACTATAAACTTAATTATGTCGGTCAGAACGACGCGTTCGTGCTATTCGCTTTTATTGCGCCCCGTTTACGGTGGTTCGCCGCTATCAAAAGAGTATAGTTAATGGTTCGTCTCGTCTCTTATACGGGTCACGACACGGTGTCCGCGCGATTACCTGCGCTTCTTCGTGAAACGGAGCATCAATTTTCCGAGCTTATGTAACCCTTATGGAAATTCCCCGTTAGTTAACCCCCAGCCAGCGCGATAATTACTCTTCTCCGTGTCCTGCGTAACTTTCTTTTGCTGATTCAATGGAAAGTACGTTAATTCACGGATCACTACCCTCGACATGTCCTATCTTAATGATCTGCCAGAATATATATCTTCCTCTTGAACCGCGGAAGCTTGCCAGCACCCTCCTCGGTCACTCGCTAATATTTTTCCTTTCCCGGTTGAAGCGTCTCTCGGGTCTCCTTATCTCGCCGAACAGAAACGACGTCGACGGAAAAGGGATTTATCAAGTTCGCCATCCGACACTGCTTTTCTTCATCGATCGTGTACGACACCGCGAAAAAACCTTTCGGTATGCAGCGTGGTCATCGACTCGTTATCGATCAAGTCGTTCGTTATCTGCATCGGTCGCTTCATAAATATGTCCCGAGCCTCTCTCTTCGTTGCCTGTTATCGAACCGAACGATCCCGGAGCAGGAAACGTTGAAATACACGCGAAAGGTTGCCAAACCGCGAACTAAAACGACACTCGTAGAGAACTGTACCCGAACGCGAAGCACAAATCGATCCCGTTAATGCAACTAACGTGCGCTCGGTAATTTTGTTAAACAATTTACCGAATTCTGGCTCTCGCTTAGCCTTCCATGCCATCCTACCGGAACACACTCTTAATTGATTTCAACTACGCGCTCGGCCGTATTCCGAATCCGCAACACGAAAACAATTTCTCCATCGACGCGATGCATTATGCACTTTCGGTTCGAGCTACATAATCGCGGCACAGCCACCGATTATACCTCGCAGTGATTAAGCGACCGACGTAGTTACCTCAGAATGAGGATTTCGGCGTTCCGACGACCACCGCTTACGGAAAATCGCTTCCTCGGTTACGACTCCCTTGTCTGACGTTTATTTTCCCTCGCGCCGTATTGCACTATTCAAGATGTTTCTCGATGCGCAATCGGCTAAGATTTTCCACCTCTCGAGATATTACGTCGAAAATATACGTGGCCTCTCGACATTAATCCTACGAGCCAATTTTCTATGCAAAACCAAGTTAAAAATGTACATCGAATCTGTTTTCTAACAAATTGAATGGAGATCGCAGGTAAAATTGGACACAGAATAATTCTGTTCTCTTGTATATTTTCGATTGAATTTCTCGAGAGGAATCGATTGCTTGCAAGTTGTACAACGATTTGAAAAATATCCAATAGAAGTTGTTAGTCACGGTAAATTTATCTTCGGTATATCGAGAGGAAGGAATTTTTTCATCTACAGAGTTCGACGGCTATTATTAGTTTGGATATTCAAAGTTATGTTCTCATAAGAAATCGATAGAACGAGCTTACGAATTATCCAATAAGAAACTTTCAGCGAAATTTAAAGAAACTTATAAGACTTATAAGAATATCGGCGGATGTGACGTAGTGCAATAATATCGGGATATCGATGGTTCTGAATTTGGAGCAATGGTCAGGACCGTACCCAAACTTCTACTCCTTTACAATTATACTTACACTTAGTTCTGATGTATCACATAACTAACGAAAGGAAAATAATTTTGTAATGTTCGAGTAATGGCGAATGGTAGTCGCAATAAATTTTATCTGATGCAAGTTCTTTGAAGGCAACTAAATTCATAATCAAATTGTCTCTCAACTTTATACGATCAATTTGCAATTATTGCAAACACGATGGTCAAACCCAGGGTCTTTACATTATTTTGAACAGAAGCGTTGTGAACCACTCTGTCGTTTATTTTGAACAATATACGAATATCTCTAATTAATTTTTGTTTACACAGATTTCTTTTGAAAACATCCCACTAATGAACAAACAAATTGCTTTCTATCTTTTAGCGATTGATTTGCAATTATCGTACAACATACGCGAGGAAAAGATCAACACCATTAGCAGAGGATAAAAATTATAAATTGTTATGGTTCCTTGTTCGTCCATAAAATTTAATTTCGCGTAAAATAAATAATTATTTTGCTAATGCCGCTCGATTGAACGAGAATCGAGCGACTTCCATTAAATCATGGCGGTGCAGTGTTGAAAGCGCGCGATGAAAGTAGTCGGACGTAAATGTTTGATGAACCGGTAAGACAGAAAATCGAGTTAACTTCGTTGGAAGGGCGTGGAGCAGCCGATCTTCAGGGAAACTGAAAATCCAGATTTATGTCTGAGTTTAGTGCCCGATGACGTCGTAAAATTACACACGGAACGCCAGTACGTACGTGTCGTTCTAATAAAGCGACAAGGAAAACGCACCCCCGTCGACGCTCGACTCTCCGCATCGACCGAGCGAGTCTCCAGGGAAATATCTGTCAGGGATGCTACGTTCTGTTTTCCAGAAATTTATTTCCACTTTCGACCTTCTCTCTTCAGAACCGCGACTTTTCATGGACGATTTCATCCGATTGCACATTTCATTGCAACGTATATTCTTGATTTTAAACCTCGTTATTCTTCGTCACCGCTTTATTAGGAACTTAACAATTAACGCTTAATAATGCAAGTTATCTGATTTTATGTGCTCTATTCGTACAAGATTTTTTATATTTGCAGACGGAAATCAAATAGTACGTCTGCAAATTACTATTTGATTTCAGAGTACTATTTGAACACGAAGAGAAGTTCTCTTTCTATTTCGAAAGTTATGGAACTTGCAAATTGGTAACCATGAAAATTTACCGTTCGAAAATGAACTCCGCCATTTTCTCCAGTGCCGTGACCCAGCATAGGTTGTTTCTATTAAGATACAAATATCGCCAGCCATAAATTCCCAATTCTACGTTAATGTTCGCTAAACCTCTGTGTCGAGTATAGAATTGCTTCTCAACAGCCTCAATCTCTTCGCAGCAGTTCTTCAGGTTTACGTTTCCCCGTTAACATTGTTTCCTTCGTACATCAAAGGATTGGAATCAACTACCAAAATGTTCCACATTATTATCGAAGCAATGCACTGTTCTATTGTTAACAACGAAACTTTATCAAAGCCACGTTCCATTTATCTGCCTCCGTGATTCATTCTCCGTGAAATTTATGAACGATATCTCGCATTAAGGTCGGTCATAATCTTTACGCCAACCTTCCTTTGTTCCTCCTTCTTCCGCTTTTCGCTCACCCACCGACATCCGCTTGTCCTTTGTCGGTAATCTTTGCGCGAACCATGATTTCCAGGAATGTCGACGATAACCGTCCGGCACCTTCAAATAATTCTCTCAATTATACCAGAGATACGAAAAAAACGAGTAGGCCAACGACGTTTATTTCTACATATTCCTTGCAGGGTGCATTATGTCCACTTTCGTCCAAATGGAATTTTATGTCCTGCTGAATGTAATCGCTCGATCAAAATTATTTCGTAAGCTTTTAATTTCTCGCATAATCTTATGTCAGGATTTTTGATGTTACGTCGATTCTCCTCTGAAATTTGAGAAGTTGATACTCTGTGACTCTGAGGGTATATCAGCGAACATAACGCTAACTGTAGGAAATAAAATTCTGGAGATAATCAGTTACAACTTATTTATTTATTTTTTCTACTTGATTTTGCATTTTAACGTATGAGTACATTATACATCGGTATAGTTACTGTTCAGATTAGGAAGAGCTTTAGTTAGCTCTGTCCATCATTGTTCCTCCTGTTAAGCACTCAGGAGGTCGACAAAAGATACTAACGAGACAATTTAGCAGTTTATGTCAAGATAACGATTGTCCCAGGTAACTTGAAAATTAGCCGAACTTGCGGTATCTAAATAGTTGCGTAGTTTTAGATCTCCAGAGAGGTTGTTGCGCTCGATATTTTGCATCGGTGAAGGA